ACCAGGGGCTGTTGTGGCTGGTTCTGCAACGTCCTGTAAAGGATCCCCAACTAACCTTTTGGTAAATACCTTGTTTAGTGTGGCGTCACAAGGCATTCTTTTTAAACGTGAAATTTCCAAACACTCTGCCCCTGTGTGTGTGTGTGTTCCCCACTTGTACCTACGTTATGCTTATCTAGGTCAGGTGTGAAAAGAAGACCGGATGTGTAACATTGCCGCAGGGATGTCAACAAACTTGTACATTGTGTACCGCACCTGTAACACAGATCGATCGATGACTTGGTTTGTTCCCTTCGGATCGCTACCAGAAGGGTTGACTATACCATCTTGAGATTAAAAATATCGGCAGACGGACAGGCAGATTCCTGAAACCCCGTTCAACCTCCACAGGAGGTATCATTACTGCACCCGTAACGATCAGTTTCAGCATTACATAACCTAACATAAAACACAAAACCCGCCATCTTTCTCCGTCTTCCGCTTGATGAATAAGTGTATGATAACCTAGTCCTGTCCATTTCTTGGTGTTGTCTTTTAAGATTTTTCATTGCCCTCCTCTTCTTAGACCCTTTTTTCCCCTCCCTAAATGTTCCTTAAAGTAGAGTCTTTGTAATCGAATCATGTCTCACTACGTGCCCAAACCCAGCTAGCTTGCGACGTTTCACCACTGCCAAGAGAGGGCTCCTGATGCCCCGCAAATTTTTATGTTTCGTCTCTGACATATTTGTTAGTTTTATGCTCTAAATAACTAATTCGTAAAATTTACTGTAACATTTACTTTCAAAATCCTGAATCCTCCTTTCCATTTCCACAGTGAGAGTCCAACTCTCACATCCGCATAACAAACATAGACCAATACCAGTGATCTGTATATATTGACCTGAACTGCGATGTTGATTTTGCTCTTCCACATTGTACTCTGCTGGGACATCGCGGCTGTTGCCATATCAAGTCTTGTCTTGATCTCTTTGGTGCAGGTGCCATTATTAAATATGTGGGAGCTGGAACATTTAAAGGTTTCAACTTCTAGTTTTTTTTTTTTTTCTTTAGCTGAGTCAACACGCGATGTTTTAGGGGTAGCTGACCCCCACCCCACAACCAACCAGCACACATAGGCGTTCTCTTTTTAATAGGGCTGTACCAAATATTCACTTCGGGGCCGAATAGTGGACCTATTGACTATTCGGTATTCGGCCGAATAGTTGCGGTCGGGCCGAATACATATAGTAGTTACTTTACATCCGCTTCTGCATACACGGCCTTAATACTGACAACATGGGACGATTGGTTTTGTTGAAAGCAAATGCAGCTTTCATGCATTAACTAATCTGTCAGTGACAATTTCTAAGTTTAGTTACTTGTTATAATACTTAGGATTCTTTCATTCCTAGTTATTAGTTACCACAGACTGACTGAAGGATGCAAGACATAAAATGTTTTTTAAATGTTTACTGTTCTGTACGAATACTAACTAGACATGGACAGAATATAAACTCCGGCCACATCCAAGTCGATAATATGAAAATCAAACGAACGGAAACATAAAGGTACTTGGGTGCAAACTTCAACTGCTCTAACATGCTGAGAGAAGAAATACAATCTGGAATTATACTTTATTTTTATACTATGCCCTTCAGCATCTGCTAAAGTCAGAGTGCCTGTCTCGCAACACCAAGATCAAAATATTTAAAACGTTGATATGACGAGTCGTTTTATATGGCTCTGAAACTTGAAGCAGAAATAAAAAAGATGAGGTCTTATTACAGGTTTTCGAAAACAGTCTTAGGACAAATCTTTGGGCCCATCAAGGATGCTAACAGCGGGGAATGGAGAGTGAGAAGCAACAACGTAGCACATAATCTGTTTAAATCATCATTGATCACTGGTATCATGAGAGCTAACAGGCTAAAATGGGTGGGGCATATTGAAAGAATGTCAAAAGACAGAAGTAAAACTGTATACACCTGAGAGAGGAATGGGCGTAGACAAAGAGACAGACCAAAAAAAAAGAAGTTCGAGAGATAATGTCCAGCCAGACCTGCAAACAATTGGTTCACAAATTGTGAAGATAAGGCCAGCCAGAGAGATGAATGGAGACAAGTGATATCTGCAGCAGTAAACCTCAAGGGCTCAGAATGCTAAAGAAGAAGATGACTATTCTGTGCTACTTTATGTGAAGTAAAAGTTCAGCGTACATTTGACATTATGAATGTGTGTGTGTGTGTGTTTTTTTTTTTTTTATTTTTTTTTTTAGATATATTTTATACACTTTACAATATTCGTATTGGTATTCGGCCGAATAGTAAAAATCACTATTCGGTACAGCCCTGCTTTTTAAACAATTCTTTATACATTTCAAATTATTTAAAATATATGTAAATTCTGTTTATTTACAGTTCAGCGCATAAAATATTTAATAAAAGCAATTTATATTATTATTGTTATTACTATTTAAACAAAACGCATGCCCTTTGATGCCCCCCCCCCACCCCCCACCACGCAAAAAATGTCCAGAAGAGGAGGGCCTCAAAGGTTGTAAGTCATGTTTAAGTACGCAACAATAATCAAATGTTAACTAGAACGAGGCCACCTGTTGAACAGCGGGGAAAGCAAAATTACAAGCACTAAGAAGCCAGAGCTAGGGCAACTGCTCCATCCTCAGTGTTATGACTGCGCAGCTAAACGTGGCCTAAGCCTCTTCCCTGGTGTTTTCTCTCTGGCGCCCCTGATGGGTGTGTAAGTTAATCATTTCTGTACACCGGGGGCGCTTCGTGGTCTCGAGGCATGGTGTCCGCCTCGAGTGCTGGAGGTTCCGGGTTCAATCCCCAGTAAGGGCTGGGATTTTCTCACGTGGACTTGGACTTCTAGTAATTCCCCTTGGTCTCTGGCTACTGAGATCGGACGTCCGTGTGCATTGTTGCGCACGTAAAAGAAAAATTCATTGGCATTTGGACATCGAAAAGAGTAGCCTAACGGCGCTGCCCGGGCAAAATTTGTAGTAAAAATCTACCCAAAAGTATTTCAGGATCCTCGCCGGTGCTACAGAACCTGTGCATTGTGCTGAGCTTCTTCGGACTCAGACTTGAGCTAGATAAAGAACTGAGCACTTATGGGTTACTACCCGTATGCCATGATGTGGATCCTTTGTTCAAACTTCTAACTTCTATACACCAGTTACTACCCGTATGCCATGATGTGGATGGATCCTTTGTTCAAACTTCTATACACCAATTACTACCGAGAAGAAAAGCACCGATGCCGTGTAGTGGAAACCACCGACATATCCCACGATGGAACAGACCTGACTTCAACACAGCCACCACACTATTTCCAAATTCTTCCTGATTTGTTCAGTGACATTTCAAGATTCGCTGCCATACAGCAGAACAGGTTCTATGTAACATTTTAGCACCCTCTTTCAACCAGTAGCAGATATCATGTAATCCAATTAGCCAATTCAGATTGATTATGATGATACGGCTATTGTTTATGTCGTCTTTTAATATTTTTCATGATCTTTCCCTTGCTTAATCTTCGTTATATGCGTACACTTTCAAAGTTTTGAGAAAACATTAGCAGTACGCTTTTAATATATATATTAGTTAAAAAGAAAACGCAAAGTGTTTTGAAACCGCTTTCGGCTCTTATGGCAACAATATTTGTACAGCCACAAAACGGGTTTTCCAATCACCGAGGCTCAATGGATATCGATCATTACTGGGTTGGTCGGTTATCGATCTTGTCAGCTAGCGGGGTTGTTTCCAGGGGCACCACCAGACATAAGTCTTTTGGGGAGCTCAGAGCCCTTATATCTTTTTGTGGGATTTGTGGCGGGAACCTTAAATGACTTGAGGCCATGCAAATCTTTTGAAACTAAATTGTATACTATTTCATTTCTACGTTCGGGTATGGTATATGGTTTTATATTGAAGACCTGAGGTCAGTCAAATACTGTCAAACTGACTACGCATTCAGTGGTTGTGATGGCAAAAAAAAAAAAAAATGTCATGTTGAATTTCTTGAGATAGATGTAAAACAACAATTTTTGTATGTAGAGGCTAACTTTTGTGTATATACATTTATAGCCCCTTTACACAAGTACTTAACGTTTGTGGGATATCAGAGGCGCTACGTGGTCTCGAGGCATGGTGTCCGCCTTGAGTGTTAAAGGTTCCGAGTTAAATCCCCGTTAAGGGCTGATATTTTTTCACGTGGAATTGGACTTCTAGTAATTCCCCCCGGTCTCTGGGCAGTGAGATCGGACGCCCGATGTGTATTAGCTGGCAGTTGGAAATCAAAAAGAGTAGCCTAACGGCGTTGCTCGGGCAAAAATTTTGAGTTAAAAACCTACCCTAAGTATTTCAGGATCCTCGCCGGTGCTACAGAGCCTGTTCACTGTGCTGAGCGTCTTCGGACTGACTTGAGTAAGAAGAAGAACTGAGCACTTATGGGTTACTACCCATGTGCCATGATGTTGCTTCGTTGTTCAAACCTCAAACCTGTGTGATATCATTTACCGTTTCTGTTCTACCTAATTTTAAATATTTAGCATATATTTTTAAACAATTGTTGTGGCTTTTCAACTGCTGCACAAAAACTAAATCTTAGTTTCGCTTTGCATAAGTAATACGATGTTAAATAAGTGTTCAAGGTTTCATTATAATCAGACGTGGAGAGGTTCTGGCAGATGCTCGAGGCTCAGAGGAAAGGCAAGACGAACGTTTTATCAGAATGCTATTGGCACCATTAGTATCGGAACTCTTCGCTGGCTGCTGAAGATGGGGACGGAGCGCTTTTGGGAATGCCCCGAGTGCTGTGATGTAGGTTTTTGAATCAAATCAGTCAATCATTATAATCAGACCAGCAGTTTTTGAGAACAATATATCGCAAGCCGAAACCTGCCAAAATGATAAACCGGAGGGAAAAGGAAATAGATACTGGCCTGTTGGTCCAAAAGTCATGAGTTCCTGACCTGACTGGACTTTGTCTTTCTGTCAAAAATGACGTTGGGCTCACAGATTGGCCAGCTTCAAAAATGGGTATCGGGTCACCCACCAAGTGCCGATTATGGCGAGTTGCTGGGGACAAAACACGGTGACGTGAAACTGGGGACATCCTCGGATCAGCAGACCCTCATCAGGGGACTAGACTCGTCAGGGTCTGGCATCGAGTTGATTGCTTTGATGTAATTGTCTGTGAAACATTCGATCAGCGAAACCGTTAGAAGTCTGGCCAATCGGGGCTGCTGCCAGCAACACAACAGGTTTGTTTTTCCCCCTTTCAGTTACAGGAAATCAATAGATATGGATATTGATAACCTCCAGAGTCTGATTGCCGTCGATCGATGGTGTCTGCCGGTGGAGTTTTATTGATGTCAAACATTCGCTTAAGAAAGTGAATAGTGAGGACTGTCGTCACAGCGGAGGTGTCGCCTCTAGGTGCTCGCCTGTCCGCCCAAAGGTTTTGGGTTCGCATCCACACCAAGTGGATTTTTTCCCGGGTTGTCCCGGGAAGTAAAGGCGGTCATCGTGATGTTGACCACATCACCCAGCAAGTGCCGGTTTGGCCTGTAAAAAATATGTCTATCAGCATATGCCAGGTGCACCACTGGCGGGTAAAAGCTGCTTTACTTCACTTTACTAGAACTTTATTTTATTTTTACTTTACTTTTTTCGCTTCACTTTACTTTACTTCACTTCACTAAACCTTACTTTACCTTACTTTGCTTCACTTTACCTTACTTCACTTTACCTTACTTCACTTTACTTCACTTTACCTTACTTTACTTCACTTTACTTACTTTACTTCACTTCACTTTACCTTACTTTACTTCAGTGTACTTTACTTCACTTCACTTTACCTTACTTTACTTCAGTGTACCTTACTTTACTTCACTGTACCTTACTTTACTTCACTTCACTTTACCTTACTTTACTTTACTTCACTTTACTGTACCTCACTTCACCTTACTTTACTTCACTTTATTTTACCTTACTTTACTTTACTTCACGTTACTTCGGTTCACTTTACCTTACTTCACTTCACTTTACTTCACTTTGCTTTATTTAAATTCACTTTACTTTACCTTACTTTACTTCCCTTGACTTTACTTATTATTAAATCACTCCAGATAACCCATGAGTGCTCCATCTTCCTCAATGGCCCCAGTTGGGGGGTGGGGGGGGGGGGGGGGGTTGATCCTCTGTCTTAACCTCCAGGTAAAACGTCCCAAGCTAGCTTGGTTAAGGCACGTGGTGAGACATGATTCGATTGCAAAGACGGTACTTCAAGGAACATAGGTAGTCGAAGAAGAGGAAGGCGAAGAAAACTTGGAATGACAACATCAAGAAATTGAAAGGACTGAGTTGTCATACACTTATTCACCAAGCGGAAGACAGAGAAAGATGGCCAGTTTTATATGCTAGTGCAGCCAGCCATTACCGGGGATTTAACCCTGAACCTCTAGCACTCGAGACGCACACCATGCCTCGAGACCACGCAGCATTCTGAATAAATATTTTTAAAGAGAATTAACAAGACGCAAAAACAGAAAACACGAAGACAGTAAACGCACGAATATCACAACTATGATGTGCAGTAACACCTCAAGGCGATTGGGTCAGCCAGATATAAAAGCACAACATTAAAACACCATATCTAAAAACATCTGCGGATCAATACCCACACGTATACTCCTGTCTTATGGGCTGTACTGTGTTGGGTCTTGCACATGTTCTTGAAGGTCAGTGAACGCTTTTCATCATCCCCAACCTACTCATAATCTAGCAGGTCTTTTGCAGAGCGTCGCTGTCAGTTCGGTCTGTCTGAAAGAGACTCAGTCTCTCGCCAGCTCTCCCACCTCCTTATGAGATTTGCACTGTATTATGATAGAATGGTGATAAAAATAAGTCATCAGTGTAGAAAATCAGTTATTTACTAGGTGGTATTTTGGCTACCGCTCGGTGTGTATGTGTGTTTATGGCATGGATAGTTTACTAGATACCACGTCCCCCTTATTTCCTCTTGTTTATGGATAGATCTCTTGTGCTAAATTGATGGTTAATCTATGAGCGCGAATAACAGTAACTGTCCCTGTCTGCAGTTTTCACACACAGTTGAGGCAGTTATTGCAGCCTTGTTGGTACAAGTAACGATCTCCGGCCCGTACAAACCGCGATTGGCCGATGTTCATTCATGTTTGCTGGCCTTTCGCATGCGCGACTTTCTGTTACAGGGGTGTCAGCTTGAATTGTCTTCGACGCTTTCACTAGCGATGATGTATGCTCTGTATTACACGATGTGACCGCTTTCAACGACCCCAGAAAATATAGAACTGGCCCTAACCCCAAACCCCACCCTCCCCCCCAGAACCTCAGCCTACGTCCCACAAGAGACTGCAGCCTACGTCCTGTGGTTTCAGAACTGTTAACATTTTGTGTCGGTCGTCAACGCTGACAACTGAGGTAAGTTCAGTTCATATTTAAAGTTCCAGAAGGCTAGAATATACGCTAAAATATACGCAATGTCGCCAGCCGCTCAGAACAACAAGTAAACCACAACATCTACCTGGCCGCTCACAGGACGCCACAAATATATACATAACAGAACACTACGTGACTCCCCTGTAACTTAAACTAGCGCGTATGAAAGGTTAGCAAGGATGAATAAACGGCCAATCAAGGTATGTATGGGTCGGAAAACGTCACCTAAACCGTCTTGGTAAGTGTGTACTTAATCAGGCTGACAGTAGTTAATGGCTGTGGCCTTATAGAAGTAGGAAGTCGTTTTCTGCGCCTAGGTGGTTTGTATATCCATGGACCAAGAAGACAAGAAATATTGACAGTCTTACTAAAAGCCCTCTTCCTCCACCCGTCATATTAAAAGGACCTTTGTCCACGCCTTCTGGCGTATTGGGCATTTGGGACTAGGCCTGTATTTGATAGACCAATCGGCACTCGACGGGTGATGTGATTAACATCACGCCAGTCGCGTTTACTTCCCAGGACTGCACCGGGTAACCGCTCAAGGCTGGGTCGACCTGCAAGCCAATGTCATTTTTGAAGAAAAGTCCGGCGTCATCAGGATCCGAACCCACGACCTTCCGATCCTCAGGTGAACGTCAAGCCGCTACACTGCGGCGCCTCCCCTGTCAGTCCAGGGCAGTCTAACATTCACAGCTATGAGATTAGTCCTATACATATTTAATTGACTTCCTTGCAGGCATCCCCCAGGAGGTTATGTGCGGCACTAGCAGGAGACGCGCACTCAGAGCTGTAGCAGGCATGGGCGCCGCTTCCAGGGGGCTTTAGCCTCTTGACGCCCCCGATCTTTTCCGAAAATTTTAAAGGGGATAACGTCTTCCGTCTTCTTTCTTGTTTTTTTTTTTTTCTACTCCTGGAATGCCTCGCGGCGTCAGGTCAGAAAGAGATCATTATACTTGCAAAACCTTATAATAGGGCTAAGGCGGGCTTCCACTGCTGTTGTTTTCTGTGTGTGTCGCCCCTGGTGGCAGGTGTAGTTGGCTGTGAGTGTAGGCATTGATTTAGAGCTCATGCACAAAAAGACGTGGTCGATCAGTGGGTATGAAGATTCTCTGTCTATCTATCTATCTATCTATCTATCTATCTATCTATCTATCTATCTATCTATCTATCTATCTATCTATCTATCTATCTATCTATCTATCTATCTATCTATCTGTCTGTCTGTCTGTCTGTCTGTCTGTCTGTCTGTCTGTCTGTCTGTCTGTCTATCTATCTATCTATCTATCTATCTATCTATCTGTCTGTCTGTCTGTCTGTCTGTCTGTCTGTCTGTCCGTCTGTCCGTCTATCTATTTGTCTATCTGTCTTCCCTCTCTCCGTCTATCTGCCTTTCCATTTGTATGTCTGTCGATCTGTCTAGGCAAGTAGAATGAACGAACGAACGAACTTTCAAAGGGTTACAAATTAGGCACGCAGGCCTGTCTTACATTCGGCCCTTCCAAACTCTCATATTTCACACAGCAGTTGTATATCATCAATAAAGCATGTTATGTTCATGTAATAACATGCATATTATGAATATCAAGTCAAAAACAAAAGCATGGGTGGTAAAATATGTGCGCACGCTCGCGCGCGAACACACACACCCACATACACACGCAAACTCACTCACTCACACACACATATACACATAGGCACCCAATACTTACACACACACACACACACACACATCCACATACATACGAACATGCACACACACACATACATAATACATACATACGTGCATACATACATATATACATACATACATACACACACACACACATACATACATACATACATACATACATACATACATACATACATACATACATACATACATACATACATACATACATACATACATACATACATACATACATACATACATACATACACACACACACACTCATACACTCATACCCACACAGACATGCGCTCTAAAACACACACGCATACAACCCCGACACGTATAGATAGGTAGGCAGACAGACACATTGATAGACAGGTAGACGGACGGAGAGATGGATAGATAGAAAGACAGACAGATGGACAGACAGACACACAGTGAAAGAAAATGTATACCAACAAAGAGACACTTGAGACAAGAGACACAGGAACCGCTCAACCCCACATCAACAACCACACGGGGCACACAGCAACTCCCAACCTCTTCCACGCAAACCGGCAATCCTCTGTGATATCCCGTTATTACTGAGACCAACCAAGACGTTAACACGTCAGTATCGTTAGCCCGGCTTGGGGACGTCAACAGCATGGCCCGTCAGATGGTGACGGTCTTGGACCGACCACCAGCTGCCCAGACAAGGGCTCTAGGCGCCCACATGCGGTGGTGTCTCTTGAATGTCCTGATTCTGACGTCACATGCTTTCATCGCTGGCAGGCAGCAATCTCGCAGCCACTGGTTGGCACGGTCTAGTTGCTAGAGTCACGCAAGAGTACATTCAGTGATGCCCCTATTTACTACCATTGACGTCCACACCACCACTATCATCATCATCATCATCAATTGAGATTTAAACAACGGATCAAAATCATGACACACGGGTGTTATCCATGTGCTCAGTTCTTTCTTCCAACTCAAGTCTGAGTCCGAAGAAGATCAGCACATTGCACGGGCTGTGTAGGATCCTGAAATACTTTGGGTAGATTTTTACCTCCAAATTTTGCATGTGCAGCGCCGTTAGGCTTCTATTTTCGATTTCCCGCTGCCAAGGGATTTTTTTTACGTGCGCAACAATGCACACGGGTGTCCGGTCTCACCACCCGGAGACCAGGGAAATACTAGAAGTCCAAGTGCACCTGACGAAATAACAGCCCTTACCAGGGATTGAACCCGGAACCCCTGGCACTCGAGGCGGACATTTTTCAGAAATGGTCTTGTTCTGAGGTCCACCCAGCCTTAAATGGGTACCAGGTACAAGTCCTGTGAAGTAAAGGCTGCCGGTATGATGTTGATCACATCATCCACAGAGCGCTGATTGGTCTGTAAAATATAGGTCTAGCCCTATATGCCCAATATCGTGTGGGAGGGGAGGGGGGGTCTTTTACTATTGTTGTTTCCCCTTGAACATGGTCTTCCGCGGATACTGCCTGTCCACAAACAGTCCCGCACCTCAGACTTTCTAGCCTCTCTTAGCCTTGTAAACTCAAACTATTATATACGCTGCATTTTCCGGTAAGCAAAAGGCCCTTTCACACGGACAGTGCCTCCCGCATATGATGCTAATTCAACGATTTTAACGCCAGTTGTTTGTCTGGTTTAGCTACCACAGATGTAAGAAAGTCTCATACCTCAAGTTATGGCAAAGTCGTCCCCATGTGAGATGCAATTTGTTTGTTATTTGAAACCCCTCCCCCCCCCCCCCCGGCTTCCACCGGGGGCCCTAAAAATAGCCGGGGCATAGATATGGCCTAACGGCTGAACGGGGGTTTCTTGGACCTCTTCACGGGTGATCCTCATCCGAATGGTGGCCCTTTGTGCCACCGGGTGTTTATCGCTTATGCGATGTTCTGGTGAGGCACAACTACCTACCTACCTACACACCTACCTTAAAGAGAGCCGCCATGTTGTTGTAGCGGCTAGTCACTCGCCAGCGGATCAGAGGCCTGTGTTCGGGTCTTGAATATTTTTATACAAAAAATGACCTTGGCTCCCAGGTCGACCCAGTCTTGAATGGGTACCAGGTGGGGTCATGAGAAGTAAAGGCGGCTGGCGTGATGCTGGCCAAATCAATACCATTGTCGATTTGTCTGTAAAATATATCTAGCCCTATATGCCCAATACGCCTAAAGGCGTGGAAAATGGTCCTTTATTTTTGCTTAAACCTCAAGACTCAAAAAGACCTCGCGTACCAGGCATTAGGAAACCAAAAGCGGTGAAAGCCCTATACAAACACACGATATCCGCAATAAACATCCGTCTGTCCGTGACGCCCCATGGAAGATTACCGCGGCGCGCAGATCCCATTGTTTTCAGAAGAATTAACCCCGCTGTGTTTCTCTCGACCACAACTATCGCTCTCACCACACCCTTACATTTAGTTTATTTGTTTATCTGTCTGAGAAGCGACTGGCCCAGTGCTTAATGACGGCCGGGGTCTCAGTTGGGATAGCCAGGTTTGAATCCTCGGTAAAGTTTTTTTTCACTGTTGGGGGGTAAAAATAAATAAAAATCCTTACCTTCACAGGCCGTAGCGACAGCATTAGCCACGCGGCCCTAAATCCAGGTTAACAGAGTGGGAACCTCTGATACCATAAAAAAAGCATGTATGATATACAAATAGACGTGCACTGATTATGACACCGTAGACAACATACAACTGGCAAGAAAATGTTAAATGCCGGGAATCGAGCATGTCATCTCCACGTTACGACAGCGCCTTCCTGCAGGAACAAATGTATCAAGATGCATGACCAACCAGTACATGCATATTGTTTTAAATATATATATATTGTGTCTGTCTCCCTGCCTGTCTGTCTCCTTGCCTGTGTGTGTTATTGACTGACTGTTTCTCAGTCTGTCTATCTGCCTGTGTCTGTGCCTAGTGTGAATATACTTGAAGTTTCTCCATAATCGATTGAGCCTTCGTCAAGTTAATTATAAACCTTCACACGTTGGGGGGAGAGGGGGGGGGGGGGGCAAACGTCATCAAGAGCAGAGTGTAAGACAGGTCCTAACGATTTCAACTAAAATGTATTCTGCCCCCCCCCCCCCCCTCCTCCCCCCCCCCTCCCGCTGTCGCCCTTCATTTGTTTGTTTCCTTTAACTGTAACGGGAATCGTGCGAGTATAATAAAGTGGAATACGTCAAGATGCTTGTGTCTCTCCCATTCTCATCTCTTTTGGTGGCTTTTTACTGTAAGAAGTTGGGCAAGTATAATAAAGTGGAATACTTCAAGATGCTTGTGTTTCTCCCATCCTGATCTCTATTGGTGGCTTTCTACTGTAAGAAATAGTGCCGGTGGAATCAGTGGAATACAAGGATATGTTAGAGTCCTTATCCTTGTTTGAGTGCTCACTACTGGGTCCTGGGTGGTGGGGGCGCAGTAGTCGCTTGCCCATCCACCTGAAGGTTTTGGGTTTTATAAAGTGAAATTGACTCCTATGTTCTTCTTCTTATACCTCTCTGCCTTCTCCTCCCCCATTTATTCCTCATGTGCACGCACGTGTCTATGTTTGTGTGTCCGTCAGTGTGCGTCTGTTTGTGTGCGTGTGTATATATATATATGCGGGTGCGTGACTCTGTGTCTATTGTATATGTGTGTGTTTGTCTGGAGTGTGTGCGGGTGCGTGCCTATTGTGTATATGTGTGTTTGTCTCCAGTGTGTGCGGGTGCGTGACTATGTGCCTATTGTGTATGTGTGTGTTTGTGTCTGGAGTGTGTGTGCGGGTGTGTGCCTGTGGTGTATGAGTGTGCGCGCGCGCGTTTATGTGGGTATGTGTGTTTATTTGTGTCTGTTTGCATGTATGTATGTATGAGAGAGAGAAAGAGAGAGAGAGAGAGAGTGGTAACTATGAGAAGTTCATACAGGAACTCTCTGCTGTTCATCCCCAGAGACCGTCTGTACGAGCTGTTCTCTCAGATTGAGAAGGAGTTCGAGTACCTCTACGCCTCCAATCTTGCATGTAAGTCAATCCTAGACTCTGTGTTTGCTTGCGTCTGTCCACAGTCTTGCATCTGATTGTTTTATAATGTGATGGTGTTTTAAGGTGTCATGGTGATGGTGTTTTAAGGGGTGTCCTGATGGTGGTGGTGTTTTAAGGGGGTAATGATTGTCTGTTTTTTTTTTTTTTTGGGGGGGGGGGGGGGGGGGTCATAATAGTGAGGGTGTTTTAAGAGGCGTCATGGTGATGGTATTTGAAGGAGGCCGTGATGGTGTTTTAAAGGGGGAGGGGGGGGGTTAGGTGGTCATAGTGAGGGTATTTTAAGAAGGTCATGATGGTAGTGGTGTTTTATAGGGGTCATAATTGTGATGGGGAAGTCCCCATGGCAGAGCGGCTAGATGCCCGCCATGGATCAGAAGGATCAAAAATTACCTTAGCTCCCAGGTCGACCCAGCCTTGAGTGGGCACCAGGTGCAGTCCCGGGAAGTAGAAGAGGCCGGCGTGATGCTGACCACATCACCCATCTTGTACCGATTGGTCTATAAAAATAGAGGTCTAGCCCTATATGCCCTATACGCCTAATGGCGTGGAAAAGGGTCCTTTACTTTAGTTTTTAATTGTGATGGTGTTTTATAGGGGTCATAAATGTGATGGTGTTTTATAGGGGTCATAATTGTGATGGTGTTTTATAGGGGTCATAATTGTGATGGTGTTTTATAGGGGTCATAAATGTGATGGTGTTTTATAGGGGTCATAATTGTGATGGTGTTTTATAGGGGTCATAATTGAGATGGTGTTTTATAGGGGTCATAATTGTGATGGTGTTTTATAGGGGTCATAATTGTGATGGTGTTTTACAGGGGTCATAAATGTGATGGTGTTTTATAGGGGTCATAATTGTGATAGTGTTTTAAAGAGGTCATGTTGATGGTATCGATGTTTTAAGGGGTTCATGGTGATGGTGCTCATAACAAGCCTAGAGATAAATGTCAGTGTTTGTGTGTGGTCCTTGCAGTGCAAGACAAAGTCGACTTCCTGACGGAGAGGCTCGGTGTGGATGGTGGCACGGCTGACAAAACTCCGCTACTAGAAGCACAAGACTCCACTGATGGCACCAAGAACAAAAGTAGATTGTTGTTTGTTCTGTCTGTTCACGTGGAGACGTTTTAAAGAATGGAAGTTGTTTAAGGAAAAACAAAGAACACCCCGTGTATAGATTACAACATCTGGCTGTAGTCAGGTTTTAACTTGCAACAGCAGTGGGGAAACTCATCGCTTGCTGCTGCAGAGAGAGGCGGTGTGTGTATTGGAATGTCCCAAGTTCTTGGTTCATTCATTCATTTTGCATCCCCATGTGTGTTCCGTTCCAGGGAGTCGCTGTGACGTAGAGGCTAATCACTCGCCTGCGGAACAGAAGGTCGTGGATTCGCTCCCTGGTGGAGCCAGACTTTTTTCAAAAATAACCTTGGGTCTCAGGGCGATCCAGCCTTAAGTGGGTACCAGGTGCAGTCCTGGGAAGTAAAAGCAGCCTGCATGAGGCTGACCACATCACCCATCTTGTGCAGTTAGTCTATAAAATATAAGTCTAGCCCTATATACCCAATAAGGATTAGGGGGTCCTTTACTTACTCTAATGAGGGCTCTTTTCCAAGACCCCTGTATGTGTGTGTGTGTGGGGGGGGGGGGGTATGAACCTACTGCTGCCCTATCTAACAAGCATATATCAAAAAGCGACTTATTAGGGGCGTTTCCTTTCAGGTCAGAGTGCATCTGCCTGAGGCAAGGAACTGCATGTCTGCATACAAATAAGCTGAATTGGTAAAACAGGTATGCACGCAAAACTCAAAAACTCAAGTTCTGGACAAAACAAAAATTAGAAGTCAGTCAACAACCATATCTTTTCCTCTGAGATACAGCTGGTGAACAAAAAAATATTCTGTTTGCAAATTTTTTTTCTTCTAAATATGATTTGTTCAATAAATTTTTTCAGAATATTAGTTGTAAATAACTATGCAGACATCAGTTGCAAATAACTATACAGACATCAGTTGTAAATAACAATGCAGACATCACTTGTAAATAACTATGCAGGCATCACTTGTAAATAACTATGCAGACATCATTTGTAAATAACTATGCAGGCATCACTTGTAAATAACTATGTAGACATCATTTGTAAATAACTATGCAGACATCACTTGTAACTATGTAGACATCATTTGTAAATAACTATGCAGACATCACTTGTAAATAACTATGTAGGCATCATTTGTAAATAACTATGCAGACATCATTTGTAAATAACTATGCAGACAGCATTTGTAAATAACTATGCAGACATCATTTGTAAATAACTATACAGACAGCATTTGTAAATAACTATGCAGGCAATAATTGTAAATAACTATGCAGACATCTGTTGTAAATAACTATAAAGACGTCAATTGTAAATAACTCTGTGGACATCCGTTGTAAATAACTATGCAAATATCAATTGTAAATAACTATGCGGACATGAGTTGTAAATAACTATGCAGACATCAGTTGTAAATAATTGTAGACATCATTTGTAAATAACTATGCAGACATCAGTTGTAAATAACTATGCAGACATCAATTGTAAATAGAAATGCAGACATTAATTGTAAATAGAAATGCAGACATTAATTGTAAATAACTATGCAGACATCAACTTTAAATATCTTTCTGGACATTAATTGTAAATATCTTCTTGGACATTAATTGTAAATATCTCTGTGGACATTAATTGTAAATATCTCTGTGGATATAATTGAATGTAATGGGAGCTGCGGTGACATAATGGCTAGATGCCTGCCTGCCTGTCTGAGATCTTGGGTTCGTATCCGCATCAAGATGAATTTATTTTGTAAACTAATTTGGCTCTCAGGTCGACCAAGCTTAAAATGGATAATCGGTTGGTTCCTGGGAAGTAAAGCCGGCCTGATGTTGACCATATCAGTTATCAAGTACCAGTTGATCTGGGGGGGGGGGGGGGGGGGGGGAAGGAATGTATATGATGTATAACGACACAGCGGGTTGACATTTGTGTCACATTGAGTTCAGAAATGTTGTATGTCCAACAGAGAGCCAGTTGTCACAGAAGATCAAGACCACATACAAGCAGTCAACCAGCAAGCTGGTCTCCAGCTTTCGAACCCCCAACCCTGTCTACAGCGTTGTCCGTCAGTTCAGGGGTCACCGGGATGGCGTCTGGGAGGTTAGTGTGTCAAGGTCACAGGGGCGTCAGGTCATTGCCACTGCATCTGCTGGTAAGTTGAACTGCAGTCTTGGGGATTGTGTATATAGGTGTGTGTGTGTGGGTGATAGACATTCAGTCTTGGGGATTGTGTGTATAGGTGTGTGTGTGTGGGTGATAGACATTCAGTCTTGGGGATTGTGTATATAGATGTGTGTGGTAGACAGACATTCAGTCTTGGGGATTGTGTATATAGGTGTGTGTGGTAGACAGACATTTAGTCTTGGGGATTGTGTATATAGGTGTGTGTGGTAGACAGACATTCAGTCTTGGGGATTGTGTATATAGGTGTGTGTGGTAGACAGACCGACAAGACTAAACTAGACTTGACTTGATAGATAGGTAGGTAGGTAGGTAGGTAGGAAGGTAGGTAGGTAGATAGATAGATAGATAGATAAATAGATAGATAGATAAACAGATAGACAATCAGACAGACAGACATTCAGTCTTGGAGATTGTGTGTGTGATAGATAGACAGACAGACAGACTAGACTAGATTGATTAATAGATAGATAAATAGATAGACAGACAGACAAACAAATAGATAGAGAAAGGGAGCATATGGGTTAAGACCGCTCTAATCCAGATCAGTAGGTGATTTACTTAGGCTTCATTTGATAAACTATGACAAACAGAAAGGTGAATTGTCTGAGGAGTAAAGAGTTCCTTGCCTTGGGCCTATCAGACTAATGCTGTCAACCAACTATGTACATTGTTATGGGACTGTAACATCTTTTTCTCCGGGTTATGCTGGTGTGTTGAGAAACAAGCAGGCAGATAGACTGGCCTCTTCTGCACCACTTAGTGGTGAAAAAATGTCTGACAAGCTAGCTGTTGTGAGGACCTTTGGGAGCGCATGAATAGTGCGGGGGCCACAAATAGATCCTTACGTCTGAGTAGAATGGCGCCGCTGTGGGGAGTTACCAGGAGTCTGGTTGATGCTGCATGCAAGAAAAAAAGAGGCGGGTGTACCGTCAGATAGTTACTGTACCATCAGAATTTAAACTCTTCGCTTGCTGCTGAAGATGGGGACATAGCGCTTATGGAAGTGTCCTGAGTGCTGGGATGTTGATTCCTAATTCAACATTCAGGCTTATGCTGGAAACCATCTGTCAGTTATTCAGATTTAAAAATGGACTGGCCTCGGACTTAAAAAAAACGTTAGGTCTGTTGCATCTGACTGACAGGGATGTAAGGAGCTGATCAGACCTTCATCAGCGGGTGACCCAATGATGTGCATTGTTGTGGGACTATAAAATCTTCTTCTTCAAGTTTACCAGCTGTAAACTCTGGTGGAAATTTCTGGTTGTTTGTCCATTTCTAGAGTCTAGTCCTGCTCCAGAACCTGAGCTTCTCACGCACTTCCGTTTTACGGATCTGACTCATTTGTATGAAGACTGTTGGTTCTTTGCCTGTCGGGCAGATGCAGTCTGAGTTAAAAGGAAGCTGCCAATTAATTGACTGTTACAACATTCTTTTGAGGAGGCAGTGGGTCAATTCCTAGTTTCCCCTACAGTGTGGCCTGGAAGCCACACAGGGAGGACTATATGAAGGTGATGATGATGGTGTTGATGATGTTAATGATGATGAGGATGTTGATAATGATGATGATTATGATGTTGATATTGATGATGATGATGATGTTGATAATGATGAGGATTTAGTTGATGATGATGATGAACTATATAATAAACTGTGTCCCACAGATCACAGGAGCAGAATCTTCTGTATCGACACATGTCTGAATCAATGAATGGATGTATGTATGAATGTATGAACAAATGAATGAATGTATGAATGATTGAATTTATGTATGAATGAATACAAAAATGTATGAGTGAATGGAAACCCGATTAAAAACTCCGTTTTCTTCCCCAGTGTTTAAAATCTTTTAGCCCCCCTGCTCTACCCCACCCCCCCCCCCCAACCCCTATTCACAACACCCTCTCTTCCCCCCCCCCCACCGTTTCCCCTTTAATGATTTTATGATGTTGGCTGTTTTGTACCCCCTCCACTTTTTCCCAGAGAGCCCTTTACCCTTTCCCTTTGTATAAAATTGCTCACCTCCTAGAGGGCCTCAGCACCATTTTATACCCTTCCCTGCCAAT